AACTTTTAATAAATTGTTAGAAAGGACTGAACTTGATATAAATAATCATGGCAACTATCCTGAACATTTGATAAAATTAAATTAAAATTATCTCCTTATCTTTATATTTTTATTTAATGTTGTCAGAACTTTTGATCAGCCCTAAGTACCGGGTGTCCCAAAAGTCCTGCGTGAAAAAAATCCTGAATATCTTCGTCATTTCTTAACTAAACTTCACGATTGTTTTTTTGTTGGATAGAGGAACCTTCCAAGTTTTATCCGGTACACTTGGAAATTTTTGTTAATGCTTGAAAAAATGTTTGGGTTTATTGTGGTGAAATTCAGATTTTTTGGAACTCTTCTTAAATAAGAACTGTAAAACTTTTTAATAAGAACATAAATAATTTTTAATATTTAAATAAAGTAGATCATGTTCCCTTTCACATAGCAAAGTAATTATTTGCTTTAAATGACTGGATGGTGAGTATTTCTTCAGCCATGATTGTTTCATACAACCACCTGAGAAAGTGCAAAAAAAGTAATAACAACTTTTTTCAGAAAAAGTTAACTAATAAAATAAAAAGTGCTGATGGAATCTCATACAAAGAAGGTAGTTCTACAAAGTGGAATAGTTTGAAAGTCTGTAAAAAGTTGTATGAGGCTATTGCAGAAGCCGAAATCCGCAGGTCACGTTAATATAGAGAAATTATTTTCTTTTGACAGAACTTTAAATTGAACAAAACATTTGAATATGTGGTATGAGTAACAATCGAAGTGCTACAAAATGAGACGTAGTACGGCTCTGGCAATACTATGTATGAGCAAAAATGCGCAATTGTTTCAGCGCCACTATATAGATTTTCCAATAAAACTCTGGTTGATAATAATGATCATAAAAATAATTACAATTGTCAATGGTACCTGTTACATAGGTTAAACAGATTTATTGTTGTATAATATTCTCAGTGTAATATCAAGGATGATGATACGATACGTGACAAGAGGAGACATTTATCACATTAGACAAAAATTCCGTATTCTGAAAAGAAGCAGATGAAAATCAAATTTTTTCGACTAACTTATATCATCAGCAGATGTCTTTTTCTGATCAGAAAGAATAAATTATATCCATCAGACTACAGATTTCATGATACAGTTTTTCATTCTACTTTAATTCTTTAATAGCAATGATTTAAAGAACTATATCGATCAATATCCATAACATACGTGTTTATAAATGTAATACAACATTTCTCTCAATTGATCCTTGTATTGATTACTAATTGTCATAATGTTTGTTTTGATTCTACTACAGATAATAACAACATTTTCTTCTTCATGTTATATTCTTCTTTTTATTTGTCAAAACTGTCAAATGGTTTTTGCAGACATAGTGTGTTATTACTTTTACTTAAAAATTATTAATGTTAAACTACAAAATTATTTTTATATGTCATAAGAGAATCGTTTTAACATATGGTTGTACAACCTTGCAAAAAATATGTTTTATTCAGTTCCTCTGTGTTCTCTGTTATTAAACTATTTGCTCCCTGATATTTTACTGCTCTCTCTCTCTCTCTGTCTCAGTACACTTGCAATCTTTCATCATATAGTTTATTTCCTACTAAAAAATTATTTCGATTATATTATGAGGTTGATTTTATCATTAAAAACAAAAGAAAAAGATCAAACTGATCACAGATATAATGACATAATTTACGTTCATCAAATATTCTACTAGATTTCATTGAATAGTCTAACTTAAAAGTATTAACGAAAACATAGAACAATAGTCAAAAAAATAAAGTGAGTTTTGTTCTTTATCCAATAAATTGTTTGTTCATTTATTCGAATTTTGTTATTAATGATTCGATATTGTACGACAGTAAATAAAAACATAAAAAATTATCAATTCTAGTATATACTTGATATAGTACCAGTTATTCTAACGGAAAATAGATTTCTTTTTATCTAAAAATATATTAATATTGTCAAAGAGAGAAACGGATGTACTGACACACACTTAAATCTACAATTTTTGTATTACCATAGAGAAACAGTCATTTTTATCATAACATTCACATTTCTAATTATTTCACATAAGTATTAGATGGTTCTTTTTTAAAAACATATATTTGCATTATCATTTAGTTAAGAAAATATTTTCGTATAAATTAGTGTCTTTCACACATTTCGTCAGCTTTTTGTCTACTATTATTTTCTATTACCCAGTTAAATTATTATACCATGTTGTTGTTGGTTTTTTTTGCAACTAATCAGTTAAATCAATTCTTTTCTTTAGAAGATTATCAATAGTAATCGTTTATTGACATACATGCATACACGGAATAGACATATTAATCTCATTTGTCGCCACTCTTATCTCTTATCTGTATAATAATCTCTGTTATTATCCAGATTATTAAACAAACAACATCAAAGTTGGAACGATAAAATACATACACATCTGATGAATTAAATAATAAATAGTTTTATTCTGCTATATCCGTACCATCAACCATATGCTTAAGTTAATAATAAGTTTTACAAAGAAATAAAAAAACACTTCTTTCGTCTATTCGTGTAGCGTCTAATGAAGTTTTTTTTCTATTAACTCCTGTTTATATTCCACAGACATTTTCTCTTCTTGTTTCGTATAACATTCTCTTTTTATTAACTCATACCGTGAAAAACCATATCTTGTCAGCAAACCATCCCTCAACGCTAGGAGACACCTCACTTTGAAGGAAATTGCCTCTTGTATCTAAAGACGGAGTTAAAAGAAATATTAGTGCGCTGTGTTGGTTTTCCAGAAAAACCTAAACCCCGTTTTTCAAAAAGAAGCATATATGTCTTGTTTTCAATCAAATCAGTTTAGTTCGATAAAACATTCAAAGTATTTGATATCATTTGCGTATTGCTTCCACTGTTCAGTGGGCTGTGAAATTACTAATGTATTGATTTGATGAATTTTGAATCTTGCAGTCGATTTTATGATGCAAGAAAGTTGATTTTGTCAGTTCTGACGATGGATTTAGACAGAGAATGCGTTTCTGAGTATATATAATGCATTTCTAAGACTAAAAAAATATTTATTTATGGTTATAGAATGACTTTAATTCATCTTGGCCACTAACGTTTTTGTAAAATATAGATTTTTTCGATACAATACCAAGTATTCCTAAAACCGCTGCGTTCAACTCAAAAAATGATCGCGCATCGTACCCAATAACTTTTCTGACTGGCGGTAAGACAGCTTTTCTGAGGTTCTTTTGCATGGGTAATCAATATAATTTAAAAAATACATCGAAAGCTTCAGACAACAAGAAAAATGCGACGTTTCAGTCGTTGTACAAACACAGACCAGTGGATTTAGTTTCGCAGTTTATGCAAAGCTAAGTCCATGTGTTCGAATCTGTATTCATACAAAACGGATTTTGTGTTTTTCGATAGTTTCAGTTTATAATAAAATACTGGAATATTTTTCCACTTATATTCTACAAGATTAAAGCTTACATAAAAAATGCGAATCAAGTCCTCATTATGTAGCACTTTTATTATTTGTTTCATCATTAATCGCCGTAAAATCTTGACTATGTTTATTTGACGGTTCTTCAACTTGTACTTGGGGTGTACGACGAACTGTTGTAGCCGTTTGACTATTAATTTGTGTTTGTCCGTCACCACCACCGCCCTGGCTGGTAGCCGTTTTTTCCATATCTTTCAAATCAACGAATTTCAGCTTGTACTGAGTTGATGTGCTGATATACAAAAGGGGTATCCAGACCACGGATGCTTTGGCGAAAATTGCACACAATGAAATAACCAATGGTGGCGTTAATGTGGAGGAAAAGGCTGAGATAAATGACGAAACGCCGTAGGGTGTCCATGCCATAAAGAAACCTAAAATGGTAACCACAACACCTAAAACGAAAGACTTAAAAGTGAAATCAGACAAAGATCGTCAAAATTATACTTTTGACAATTCGCCGTTCCATTTCCACTCGCCGTTGACTAAGTTCTGTTTTAATGCCATGCTGAATTTTGTCCTTCATTCGTTTTATACCCAAAAATATGATGCTGTTCGTCGTGACCAGAATTGTCAGCGGAATAAAGTAGACAAAGATGAATATGGTGACGGTAAACGAAACAAATAATGGGGATCGACTGTACCAATTAACGCAACAAGATGTCAAAGCACCCTTAGAAACGAAAAAGGATATTCGTGCGTGAGCGTCAGAAACCGTTATGAGTCTGGTCGCGTCTAGAAACTCGGGAGAGACCTCGGATCGGCTCATTTTCAGCCGCCGACAAGCTTGACCGTTTCACTCCAAGATCTCGTTCTTACTGGTTACTGAAAATCAGATCTCCAAAGACCCAAAATCAAACGCCAGATAAAAATATTCTGATTCGACCGTTTTATAGAACAATAAATCTGATTATATGTAAGCTCGGTTGACTCTTGCTCATACTGGATGTTTGTTGAAATATCATATCACTATTTTTTGAAATTGTATCATGCTTATCTTTCACGTTCAAAGTAACTGAACTTGCAGAACCTAATCAGTTTTATTTGCTTCAAAAAATGGCTGACCACTTTCTTTTTCTTTTTGTCAGTTGATTCTGGGTCTCTAAAGCTTTGATTTTCATACAACCACTCAAAACCTCAACAACTGATCTCGGATTCGTAATCAACATCATCAATAACATATAAAAATATGCATTTCAAACAAAAAGCGATATAAGATGTTTGTTTAAGAAGTTTCCAAAGTCATTTCTAAGAAAACTTAGAGCATTCAAAAGTACATTAAATCACGGAAAAAAACCTGTTCGAACAATTTTTTTTCTGCTTTGGTGCGTTTTAGAATGTTCCAAGTTTTCTTAGAAATGATTTTGGAAACTTCTTAACCAATACATTTTGTAGAGTAAACATTTTTCTACAAAATGAGATGTTTCACGGCTCTGAGCAAAGCGTGACAACTGATGTACAGCAATTCCTTCGGATGCCCCAATACCAGTTAAAAGCTGGTGCATACCTGCTTGTGCTATGATAGAATCGGCGACCTTATTTCCTCAAGTTCACCTCCATATAGAAGTTACATTAGCATCTCGGCTTGTCCAGCTAACAGCCCTCTTTTTTGCTCATTTTCAAAAATTATTGCAATACAGCTACAAACTAATCTAAAAGTGCAACTAGACGATTAAGTAGATCAAACATTTCTCTACAAAGTGAAAATGGTTCATAAAAATGGTTCTAGAATTGGGTACCAAAAAAGGTTCTATGGGACACCTTTTTCTTTTAGAGATTAGCAAAAGAGACGTAAACGAGTTGGGTGATCAGCATTCGGTGAGAGCAATGATCATCCAAAACTAGAAATCCCTAGCTATTATAGTTCTTGCCTTACAGGGGCGGGCTACTTTTGCAGCCCACTGTATTTTTCTTACAATTTATACTGGGATTTGTGTTTTCTTGAAAATGACAACCGAACCTTCTGAAAGTGGCAATAGCCCGTTGCTGACGTCTTGGGAGGCGCCAATAGCGCTACCCAATATTTACTGTTGCTGCTAAGGATATTATATTCGTGAGTTGAGATTCCAAATCAATTTCTCTAAGTATTCTGAGTATGGGCTTTCCAACTGAAGAACAGGAAAAAGACAAAGTTATGTAAAGTTTTAAATTTTTACTCAGATTGGGTTAAACGAAACGGTTTTCAGAAATTCAGCTCAGCTTAACTCGAGGCAGTCTCCTATTCCAGTCAAAGTTTGTAGAAGTTTTATCGGGCTGAATTTGGCTAAGAATGTTTAGCTTGGATGCAATCGGGTCATGTTCCGAAATCTCGATCGATCGAAACCTACTACAAACATTTTTCTTGTAACTATTTCCATTTTATTCCTCGTACAACACTGTGCTTATGCGTAGACGTAGATTCTGAGAAATTCAAGTTTTTCTGAAAAGCGCCAGATAACATTTTTCCAAAGCTCCGTTTGAGATCATCTAGATTCGAGCTATTAGTGTGTGGCCATAGCGAACCTATTGAATCTTTGAGTTCCTACCTCTAAAGTGTATTCATTCCATCCAAGCAATGGTGCTATCGTCCACACAAGCGCCATAACAGTTGCTACTATCGCCACAATCAAACATTTTTTAACCTAAAATAGACGCTCGTGCCCTACAAAATACTGCTTGATCTTACTGCTTACCGTAACTTTTTTGGCGTCGAATGGCTTGACGATGATGTAGCATCGTGACAATGAAACTGCACACAAAATATAAGATGTCGAACCACCATAGAAGAAGACCATGAAGCCTTCAGCTAAGCATCCGGCTTTCCCATACAGCCATCTGCAGTAAATGTTGGATGTGGCCACCAAAATCACTGGCACAGTTGCAGTGAAACCAATTACAGCAATGAAAAATATAAATATATTCGGGGGTGTTCTTAATTCTTTGTGTTTAACAAAACTTTGAATGAGTGAGCCGTTCAGAATGCTGCCAATGAATGCAACCAAAAGTTGAACGATACCGATTATTCGAATAGCATTACAATCCACCGGCGAGACACGACTCCAGAACAGTGGATTATCACGTTCAATAACACTGGATGAACTGTTGTTATCGAATGACATCTCTATCAATGGAATGAACGAAACAAACTATCTTCATTTTACTTATATTCTATTATTGAGAATTTGTCCACTGTAATGTGAGTAATTCGCATTTCTCACTCTATTTGTCTATTGAGAATAATATGTCCATTAAATAAAACTAATCAACTATAAATGAGTTGTTGGTTATTTTTTTTACACGTAAATGACTCTGTCCCTTCTAAAAATAATCTTCTTTCCATGCTATAAGTATGAAGAATAATAGTGTGAAAATAATCATGTGTCTCGTTATTTGCGTGTGAACAAAAGAAGAAAAGATTAAAAGTATCAAAGACATAAGACCTTTGATCGTATATAAATCATTGTCCCAACAGTGCGTGTGTTATGAGTAGTTTTCAGTCATGCGACTATTAATGAAGATATCATAGTCGGATAATGTAGATTTAATATTCAATTTTATCCAAGACTTCCTTAAATTTTCCGCAGGATTAGTAAAACTTGAAATAGTCACCATAAGGCGTGTAGAAGCATATCCCGATCGGGATATATTTTCTCCGTGCAGTGCGAGACACGACGTTTGACGGGATGGGGCGTACTCGTCGTTGATTTATTCTTGATCATCCAATACAGTTTAAGAAGTTTCAACTAATTTTATTTTCTAAACGAAAACCGTACAAGTGAGTTTCTCAGAGAGTGGGATAGGCGCGATAGTGAGCGAACCCAAAATTCGGTGATTTCACACGGATATTGTGGAGCTCTTCAACTTATGTATGACCGAAAATATGAGCTTGTGAAGCACTTTCCTTAACCCTTTCAGTCCCGGCGCCGCCGAAGGAGGCGCCCGGGCGGGGAGGGTTAATGTGGTTTAAATTCAAGGGGTATGACGGGATAGGCAATCGAAGGGGAAAGGAGACGAGTAAAAAAAAACACC